GGGTTTTTTGGTCCTTGATTAATCTCTAATGGTGATGAATGATACGCAGGGTTGGATATACTTGGGAAATTGTATAAAACATCGTATTGCATGCATCTTTCTGTTCTTGAAGAAAATATAACTAACTTGCATGTGTAAGGTGAGGAAACAATTGACTGTAAGAATGCACTTTAAGGCAAAGCTAACCTCATTAGGGTGAAACAAGCAGACCTTGTTCAGACCACAGTATTCCTGAAGCTTGGTCTGCAAAAACTTACCTTAGGTGTTACTTATGAAACTGGAATGTTTTCTTGCCTCCACTACAGAGGCTGCATGGCCCTTGTCTTTGAGCTGCATTAATACTAGTCTCTGTTAGAATGGTGGCCTAAAGATTGACACAGCCAGTTACATCCTAGTGGAAGTATACTTAGTTATGAGTTGCAGTCTTCTCAGGATCTGATTTTGATCCAGCTACGTCACAAACATCTTCAGGCTTCAGTTTATTCCTTGTATTTTGTAACAAAAAAAAAATGATACTTCCTCAAGTTGTTTTATTGAGTTGAGTTTTATTTTTCGGTCAATATATACAAAACTCTGCTTTGCTTTTTCTGCTTCCTGAAAGAACAATGCTTAGCATTGTTCATGAAGTTAGTTGTCAAATAGTTAATAATTCTGTTGAAGTTGAGACAAAATTGTACCTTCCAAGATGCGCTTCTGTGCATTCGTAAAGTGGTGCTGGGATTAATGAAATGTACCCAAAGTCAAGGAAAGAACCTGGAGTGGGTGTTTTAGATTTCTATTTCACAAAGATATAGTAAATGGAAGAGCTTTTTTTTATGGAGGTGATCTGTTTATTTTAAGTTTTTTGGCCAACTTTTCAGTTGTAAAGGTAAGTGGGCAAAATCGATTTTAAGATGCTACAGTGAGGGACAAGAAAAGCAGTCATGATAAAGTTGAAATCATAATTTTGTGTAACATCAGTACATCATTGGAGGAGTAGGTATTAAAATTACATTTCACTCATAGCCAAGGGCTGAGGGGTAACAAACAGCATAAAATCACTACTTCAGCCTTGTTAGGCAGGCGTGCTTGGTATTATTTATTCAGTGGTAGTCATCAGAAGTCGCTGGAAGTGAAAGGAAGCACCAGTGCCTTCTCCGTGCTGCTTCCCAGCCATCACACAGTCACTGCGGTGCATGTTCGGGAGGGAGGAGTGGTGCTTTTCTGTGGATGAAGTCAGAGAAGGTTAGGAGTTTTAGCTGATGTAACAGAGCAGTGTAACTGACCTGGTTGCTTGGCATCTGAACTCTTGCAATATACTGTGGTGAACACTTAGGAAATGTAAGACACCTCAGGCCACTCCTTGATCTCTCAAATCTTTCCAGACAAGACCTGAGCTGATGCTTAATATCAGCTCTGAGCTAGTATCTCTAATAGCCAGCTCAAAGGAGAAAGCTGATTTTTGTAGTCATAAAAAATTTTTAGGCTTAGTGAAATGTAACTTCACCTGCTTGTTGAAATGGTTTGTACTTAAAATGATAATTTATTCCAATGTCTTGGAGAGGCTTTATATTTTAAAATGTGCTTAAAATGTGTCTTAAGAAGTTCCAGTCGTAGGAATGCAGTGTCAAAAATGTCCTTAGGCCTGTGTGATTGTCCTCTCCGCCTTCCTTTACCTGTCTTCCCCCCTGGACATGCTAACCTCCAAAAAAATGAAACAAGCAAAAAAAGACCCAAGCCATAACTGGGCAACTATTATTGAACAAAACCTAAAAATTAAAAAATAAAACATGTAGTTCACCAAATGAATTTAAATTAGAGTGATGTGATTAACTCAATTTAATTACATTTACATTTGAATTACCATTATATATTTTACTTATGAGGTGTTTTAAGGAGCAGAGGCCTTCCATAAAATAAATCTCATGGCTATTTCTTGCATGCATGGACAAATTTCTGGGGAAAAAAGATGGATTGTTTATTTAGCATTTGATGAGTGGTTACTAGTTAGTATTAGTTATTCAGTGCCTGTATTTCAGATGGAATAATGCCCTTAATTGAATGATCCTTTTTCTTCAGCTAATGAAAACAGTAACTTTGGATTAGAAATGTTAACAGTATTATTAGTAACAACTTCTAGAAGCAGTGTTGATTCTGTCCCAATGATAGAGGAATGGAGTTATGGTTTTGGGTTTTTTTATTACTTTTTTTTTTTAAATATAACTTTATTATAAATAATTAACTTCTTAACCCCTCTTACATAAACTGATCATCCTTTTTTAAATCAACTCTTATAGCATTCTCATTCCTTTCTGTCCTAATGCCTTTGCATAACTAAATATGAAAGTATTGATTGATCCAACACTGGGGAAAAAATACACCAACTTTTCCATCAGAAGATGACAATATCTCAGTTCTTAAGAAAAAAGATGTCAGAGTAGTTGAGTGTTTACTTTGTTCTCAAATGGCATTTACTGTACCTCAGGCTGCTTCATACTGTGTCTAAGTGAACGCCGCGTAGCTATATCCCCTACTTAGCAGTGTGTCTGAAAATTGAAGCAGTGCACATGTAGTCTACTGTTTTGGGGTAGATGTTGCGGGGAGTGGGGGGGTTAATAAGAGTTTTAACTGAAGAAGGTTTTGCATAACAGGTTGCATCTCTGGAGTCCTATCTGAGGAATTGGCTTTCCTCTACCTCTGTTGTTGCCATGACATGTTCTCCCCCATTCTCCCCTGCTCCTCCAGCTCTTTCGTCATTAATTCTCCAGGATTTATGTGCTACTTTGTCCTTTTCTTTGTGTTAGTTTCCACGATTTCTAAACTGTAAAAGCCAGTAAGATGTAATCATCATCATTCATGATGCATGGGGAAGAGTTACCTTTGGGCAGTTGTTCTAAAACTACATAGCAGGAGATGGAAAAGGTTTTTTCCCCCTTTTTCTCTGCATACCTGTTAAAATTATCTGTTGGATTATATTGCTGTGGGATTTGGGGTTTTGTTTTCAGTGCTTTTCTCTTAGTTTGTTCCTCTATAAGTAATGATTCTGCTTTCTATCTTCTCAGTATCTCTGGAAAGGTAAATTTGTTCAAAAAGAGGTGGCCCACTACTACTTACTTGGGTGTATGTGAAATGAGTAGTTGGGCAAGCTTAGTAGAGCGCTGGGGTTAAGTTCCAGTGAATGGCTCCACCCAGACCTGGTATTCAGCTATGACATCTAGCCTCCAACCAGAAGGTGTAAAATTATCTGAGGTTTAGAATTCATTGATCTAAGGGTACTTTTGAAATGTCTAAATTTTAGACATTTAGATATGGGGTCTTCAAAACGTACTAATTAATTTAAAAAATTTGTTATACGTGGAAAAGATCGTTCTTACAATTAAATAAGGGAATAGTCTCTGCAGCTGCTCGATCAGATTTCAGCAAATACAGACAAGGCAATGCAATTAAGAAAGCTTCCAAATGCTGTAATTCGATGTTTTAATCCTAGAAAGAAATATCTGCTTCTGTTAGGAATATTTGAAAGTACTAGATATTTTGTAGCTGGTATCAAACAATGTATAGTGTATAAATGATGCTGATAGAAATTATACAAATAACAGTGCATTGTAGACTTATAACATTGTAGCATAGGGTCATTCTTGTTAACTGTGTTGTCTGTGGACTTATAATTCAAGGGGGTTTTAAATTTAAATGAGTGGGTTTTTTTAAAAAAATGTATAATAATACATAATGTATATACTCTGAATACAGTCCAATTAAATTTAACTGGGCTTGTTTAGATAGATATTTCAACATTACTCTAAATAGTACTCATTGTAGCAATTGTTTTTATTTCTGGTAATTACTTGATGGTATTATGTTCATGAGCAATGTTTACTTTTAAAGCAGAAGCTGAGGCGAAATGTGAATTTACTTGAGAAGCTGGTTATGCAGGAGACGTTGTCATGTCTGGTAGTGAACCTCTATCCGGGAAATGAGGGTTATTCACTTATGCTCAGGGGAAAAAATGGTTCAGGTAATATTTTTGCTCTTTAATTTTTAAAAATACTCAGAATGCTCTATAAATGTTTAGAATGTGTTGTTGCTTACATTTAACTGTTTCACTTCTAACATAATCCCTTGTGGCAAAAAAAACCTAAAACAACTGAACTAAAAACTTACATAAAGCTGTGAGGTATTCAGAAACAGTCTCTAACGGTGCAGCATAAATCAGTAGATATGAGTCTTTTTAACAGCCTTCCATTCTCTCATTTTCCCCTTAGCTTCCCAAGTTGCTTATCTGAGTTTCTCTCCCTTCAGGTTCCTTCTGTCAAATTATTTCTTTTGCTGCTTCCTAAATCTAGACCTGACTAAAGGCAGCTATGTTCCAGTTTGGTTGCATCTTCATGCGACTGGTACTGTGACGTGCAATAAGAGCATACAGCATTTCAGCTGGGAGCAAAAATTTTGTCCCATTTTGCTATTAAGGCACGTTGCCTTTAGGCATAATAAGAGCAGAATCAAACTCTGGGAATAGAAGTGGTTGTAAAAACTAATACTATGCAAACAAATTGCCTGTTGGGATAGGTTTCCACCAGCCCCGCTTTTTCCTGTGGCAAACTTGTTTTAGATTTCACATTGTTAAAGTTTGAACTTGAGAAACCAAAGAAAAGCAGTATGTTTTGTTTAAATTCAGATTCTGAGACCATTCGGCTGCCTTATGAGGAAGGAGAGCTGCTTGAATATTTGGATGCAGAGGAACTACCACCTATTTTGGTTGATCTTTTAGAAAAATCTCAGGTTTGAAAGTTTTGTTTTCAAAAAGAACGTATTTTGTACCCAGATAGACCTTGATTTTTTTTTTTAATTGTAATTCCAACCACAAGACGTAAAACACTTGTACATTTGGAACTGTAATATTAAGTGCCCTAAATAAATATTTTATTGACATATCAGAAAAAAAAGTAGGGGAGAAAGGGATAGAAGAGGAATTGCTATGGTTAAGGCTGCCAAACAGCTTCAACTCTGTGCTCTAGCAAAATGTCCTTTCTTCTTTGTAATTATGAAATATTTGACGTGGGAATTTCTTAAAAGTACATTGCTGGCATATGAAGACACTACATTTGAACCTTGTATTTTAGGTATGTCTAGGTGTGTAGTAAAAACCACTGGTTGACAAAATTAGTGATTAGTTTTTATTCATAGTATCATTGAATTTTATATGAGATATAACTGACTTGGTTTTGGAGGCAGGGGCTGAGGCGGATTGGTAAATATTTGTTTATTTACAAGTTGTTTTTTGTTTCAATTAGGTTAATATTTTTCATTGTGGATGTGTCATAGCAGAAATACGTGACTATAGACAGTCTGGTAACATGAAATCTCCAACGTACCAAAGCAAGCACATTCTTTTGCGTCCTACAATGCAGGTAAGAAGTGTTTTAAGTCATTCCTCAGTGTTACAGTAGTTCCTAGACCCGATATGAACTATTACTGAACATATGTTAAGGAATCTTATTATTTAGTTGATAGCTAATTACCATTACGTCTTCTTCCTCAGACTTTAATTTGTGATGTGCATTCTATAACAAGTGACAACCACAAATGGACACAGGTGGGTTAGCAGTTACTTTAAAACTTTACAGTGATGTGGTAAATACACAATAAAATAAAATTTATTCAAATTATTTATGTTTAATAAAATCTGATAAACAAAACTCATTATGTTTTCTATTAATTCAGACTGTCAGTGATGTGCATAGTGGTGCATGGTACATGCTCCAGAGAGCTGTGAAATGAACTTGTTAATAGTACCTTCCCACAAGATGCCATAGAAAATGATAGGATTTGCTAAAAGTTTTGTAGAAACGGACCTTAATTTTCAGTAATGCGGAAAACAGTATTGGAGTTACTCTAACTAGTTTACCTTACATCATTCATCTTCAACATACAACCCCAGAACAGCAATTGGAGTCTCATGACACAATTGCTTCTCTAGCATAATTTTGCTGTTGGTACTGTTACAGTATAAAGAATCCTAAGTAATAGTACGGTTATAGTTAGATGCTGAATAACATGGTGTGCTCAATGTGCTCGTTTGTATTTCAGAAGCACAGTTGTGCTCAAATACATTTCAAATTGTAATCTAAAGTCCCAGGTAGATCATCTTTATGGCACTGATTGCCGGTCCATCAGTATAAATCACTGACAGAAAATGGCTTTCATTGCCACTAGTACTGTGTTTAAAACAAACAAACAAAGAAAACACAAACAAAAAATAACAGACCATGTCCCCAGCTTCTCAGAAGGATTTCTTTTCCTATTGGAAACACCAGCCAAAGCTCTGTAACTCATAATAATGGTTAGTGATGCTTAACTGTTGAATACTTTCTTTTGTTGACTATCCACAAACAATATTTTCAGTTTTCTTTAAAATAATGTGCACATATACGTAATTATGTATCAACTTAATTAGTGTAAAAGTCTTCATATTTTTACATTTGTTAATAGCTGTGTATATTACAGGAGGATAAACTTCTACTTGAGAGCCAACTTATTTTGGCTACAGCAGAGCCTTTGTGTCTTGATCCTTCAATAGCAGTGACCTGTACTACAAACAGACTCCTGTACAACAAGCAGAAGATGAATACTCGCCCCATGAAACGGTAGTTTTCCATGTGAAGCGTGTTGAGACTTTCTTTGAAATTTTATGAAGTGTTTCAAAGAAAAATCTAAGTAATGCTTTACATATAACATATGAGAAGCAAAATTTTCATCTGCTTAAATATTAGGAATATGAGGAACAGTCAAGAAAATATATTTTATTTTCAAGTGCTCAATATTGTACTATATTTCGATTAGTAGTAGATACTGTAATATGCTTATTTTTGTGCATCAAAAGAATGTATATATTATTTTCTTAACATAATACGTTGTATTGCAGTTTTGATTTTTATCCTTTTTTATGTAATTCAGATGTAAGCTGACTCAGATGACAGCTCAGTAATGTAAAAGATATAAATGGATATGTTGCATGTTGGTCTCTGATTTGTTAAAAGCTATGCACAAGTTTAACCCTGAATGAGGAAATCAAGGGAATTATTTATATGCTTGATATTCAGGCTAAACAGAAGTGTAGGCATATTAGAATCTTAGTGCACTCCACATTACTTTTTAAGTTTTCTATGTCTAAAACATTGAAATTGTTTCACTTTTGTGCATGGTTGTTCGCTTTTTTCCACAAAAGCTTGAAATTATTCACATTTGTTCTACTAAAAGAATTGCATTCACTCTGTGGAATGAAAATAGGCTGATGGTCTGTCAGAATTACTGAAATACTGAAAACTAGATTTGCATTGAAATGCTATGCTAATGAACAACCAGTGGTAATGCCTAAAAAAGCATAAATAGTGGAACTGATCAAGCTGTCCTTAAAATTAGA